TTTTGAGACGGAGTCTCGCTGTGCTCCCAGGCTGGAGTGCAGTGGCGTGATCTCGGCTCACTGCAAGCTCCGCCTCCCGGGTTCACGCCATTCTCCCGCCTCAGCCTCCCAAGTAGCTGAGACTACAGGTGCCCGCCACCACGTCTGGCTAGTTTTTTGTATTTTTAGTAGAGACGGGGTTTCACCATGTTAGCCAGGACAGTCTCGATCTCCTGACCTCGTGATCCACCCGCCTCAGCCTCCCAAAGTGCTGGGATTACAGGCTTGAGCCACCGCGCCCGCCCTACAAAAAATTTAAAAATTAGCTAGGCGTTGTGTCTTGTGACTATAGTTCTAGCTACTTGGGAGGCTCGGGAGAGAGGATCACATGAGCCCAGGAGATGAAGACTTCAGTGAGCTATGATCATGCCACTGCACTCCAGTGTGGATGACAGAGCAAGTTCCCATTTCTAAGAAAACCGAAAGAACCCATCTTTCTCCTTATTTTATTTTGCCTTGACATTACACAATGTAATACCACACAGTGACTGGTCAGGAATCATTTCCTCTTGAAATCTGAGAAAGAGGATTTTATGTTCTTTTGGAGAAAAGTACTGCTGATCCCTTCATGTGTTTTATAATCATGGTCAAATTCGCCATCAAACCATCTGGACTTGAATGAAATCCCTCAGAAATTGCAACTCTTAACCTGTTCCTCAAGGTTAGCAAGGCATAGGGTACCTTGTTATATATCTGCCAGAAAAAACTATTCTGGCATTTTGTTTTCTTAGTATGTGTGCGTATATAAGGTAAAAATAGGTGGGAAACTGCCCTTGACGTTCATGACTATGGGGATTTTGCTGGGTGAGGGGGTGCTGCCTAAGTTGCCATACCTTCTTCCTCATACCTGAGTCGTATCATCCCAATAGCTTCCTAGCCTACTGAAATGGGATAGAGTCAAAGGAATCAGTAAGTCTATAACAAATATTATACATGCAGGTTAAAATGAATACTTTTACAGAGGAATATTTTCATTCAGCCAACTTGATCTGTTATGTCTAATGGCTTGGAATCCTTCAGGAAAGTATGGTCAGCTGGATTTTGTCAGAAGGTGGATTTCTATGGGCCTTCTGGCCTCTCTTGTTTGATGAATGGAACAGAAGAAAATTGTTCCACTTCTTCAGTGTGTATGTATTTATTCATGGGAACCTTTTTCAGATTTTATCCTGTGTTTCTTTTTCTTTTTCTTTTTTTTTTTTAGACAGAGTTTTGCTCTTGTCACCCAGACTGGAGTGCAGTTGTGGCTCACTGCAACCTCCACCTCCTGGGCTCAAGCGATTCTCCTTCCTCAGCCTCCCAAGTTGCTGGTATTACAGGCGCCCACCACCATGCCTGGGGGATTTTTTGTATTTTTTGTAGAGACAGGGTTTTACCATGTTGGGTTGCTGGTTTCAAACTCCTGATCTCAGGCAATCCACCTGCCTCTGCCTCCTAAAGTGCTGGGATTACAGGCGTGAGCCACTGCACCTGGCCTACCCCGTGTTTCATGGAATGCTGATTGGTGTGAGACATGAAAGGAAATGGAAGTTTTTCCCAGAAGGAATGATGATCTTAAAATTTTTTTTGAGACAGAGTGTCTCTCTGTCCTCCAGGCTGGAGTGCAATGGCACAATCTCGGCTCACTGCAACCTCTTGTCTCCCGGGTTCATGCTATTCTCCTGCCTCAGCCCCCGAGTAGCTGGGATTACAGGCGTGCGCCACCACGCCTGGCTAATTTTTTTGTATTTTTAGTAGAGATGGGGTTTCACCATGTTGGTCAGGCTGGCCTCAAACTCCTGACCTCGTGATCTGCTTGCTTGGGCCTCCCAAAGTGCTGGGAATACAGGCGTGAGCCACCGGGCCCAGCCAAAATTTATTTTCTTTGTATAGCATTTTATTTGTTTCTCCAAGGTGAACTGGATCCTAGCATTAGAGACCAATAAAACTTGTAGTGACTACAGTAAAAATGTAGAGATCAGTTGCATATTTTCATGGGGTAATTAAATTTATGAGAAAGTGAATGTAGACAGAATTCTGACAACCATATTTATTTATCATAAAATAAATGGAGACCACCACATCATTTGTCAACTTGTTTTTTTTTGTTTTTGTTTTTGTTTTTTTGTTTTTTATTTGAGATGGGGTCTCTCTCTGTCACCCAGGCTGAAGTGCAGTGACGTGATCTCGGTTCACTGCAACTTCCGCCTCCTTCGTTTAAGCAATTCCCCTGCCTCAGCCTCCTGAGTAGTTCGGATTACAGGTATACGCCACCATGCCCAGCTAATTAAGTGTATTTTTAGTAGAGATGGGGTTTCACCATGTTGACCAGGCTGGCCTCAAGCTCCTGACCTCAGGGGATCTGCCTGCCTTGGCCTCCCAAAGTGCTGGGATTGCAGGCATGAGCCACCGCACCTAGCCGTTTGTGAACTTTTATGAATTGGGTTTACATCCCTGTACTGTCATCTCATTCTTTCTCCTGCGTTGCGTATTTGGGATGTTTTAGGACTCAGTGGCCTCCGAGGATGTGGCTGTGAACTTCACACTTGAGGAGTGGGCTTTGCTGGATCCTTCCCAGAAGAAACTCTACAGAGATGTGATGCGGGAAACCTTTAGAAACCTGGCCTGTGTAGGTAAGGATGACATCATTCCTTCTCTTAGTCAATTAGAGAAGAAGTATTTCTTGCTCTTTAACGCTGTTTCATGATGTCAGATGTGGAAAAGGAAATACTTGGGTGAATAAATCAGGGTTGTTTGCACCTGATCATGAACTTAGAATCTAGTCAGTTTTCTGTAATGTCTATCCGTTCATAAGGATTTTTTTCTGACTATATTTTAGGAAAAAAATGGGAAGACCAGAGCATTGAAGATTGGTACAAAAATCAGGGGAGAATTTTAAGGTAATTTGCACTGACAAGAGAAAGCAATGTCCCCTTCTTAGTATGTCATGAAATTTTAAAAATAAGGAAACAAACCAGTAAGCCCAGCTTCAAATTTATTTATTCCTACAACTTTTTCACCAGAAAAAGAAAAAGTGTGACATAGATGTTTAGTGTTGCAAAATCATTCACTTGGAAATAGTATTAAGAAACTGTATATATGAATATCACTTTTTTGATAATAGCCACTGTCGAGCCCTCTTGCAGAGCATTCCATCTCTTCACTTTCAAACAATTCATACAGGCCTGAAAACCTACCCTTTCCCCGATTATGGTAAAAATGTAAGTCGAAAAACTATTAATAAATATAAAGTCACAAGCCATTAAATCATGCTTTCTGTTTTTTCCAGCAATCATACGGAAGAGGGACTCAGTGAAAGTAAAGAATATGATCAATGTGGAGAAGCCTTCAGTCAGATTCTCAATCTTAATCTGAACAAGAAAATTCCTACTATAGTAAGACCATGTGAATGTAGTTTGTGTGGGAAAGTCTTCATGCATCATTCATCCCTTAGTAGACACATCAGATCTCACCTTGGACACAAACCTTATGACTATCAGGAATATGGAGAGAAACCATACAAATGTAAGCAGTGTGGGAAAGCCTTCAGTTCTTGTCAATCCTTTCGAAGACATGAAAGAACTCACACTGGTGAGAAACCCTATGCATGTCCGGAATGCGGGAAAGCCTTCATTTCTCTCCCAAGTGTTCGAAGGCACATGATTAAGCACACTGGAGATGGACCATATAAATGTCAGGAATGTGGGAAAGCCTTTGACCGCCCCAGTTTATTTCAAATACATGAAAGAACGCACACTGGAGAGAAACCCTATGAATGTCAGGAATGTGCAAAAGCTTTCATTTCTCTCCCAAGTTTTCAAAGACATATGATTAGGCACACTGGAGATGGACCTTATAAATGTCAGGAATGTGGAAAAGCCTTTGACCGCCCCAGTTTATTTCGCATACATGAAAGAACTCATACTGGAGAGAAACCCCATGAATGTAAACAGTGTGGGAAGGCCTTCATTTCTTTCACAAATTTTCAAAGTCATATGATTAGGCACACTGGGGATGGACCTTATAAATGTAAAGTATGTGGGAGAGCCTTTATTTTTCCCAGTTACGTTCGAAAGCATGAAAGAACTCATACTGGGGAGAAACCCTATGAATGTAATAAATGTGGTAAAACCTTCAGTTCTTCCAGTAATGTTCGAACACATGAAAGGACTCACACTGGAGAGAAGCCCTATGAATGTAAGGAATGCGGGAAAGCCTTCATTTCTCTCCCAAGCGTTCGAAGACACATGATAAAACACACTGGAGATGGACCTTATAAATGTCAGGTATGCGGTAGAGCCTTTGACTGTCCCAGTTCATTTCAAATACATGAAAGAACTCACACTGGAGAGAAACCCTATGAATGTCAGGTATGTGGGAAAGCCTTTATTTCTCTTAAAAGGATTAGAAAACATATGATACTGCACACTGGAGATGGACCTTATAAATGTCAGGTATGTGGTAAAGCCTTTGACTGTCCTAGTTCTGTCCGAACACATGAAAGAACTCATACTGGAGAAAAACCCTATGAATGTAAAGAATGTGGGAAAGCCTTCAATTATGCCAGTTCCATTAGAATACATGAAAGAACTCATACTGGAGAAAAACCCTATGAATGTAAGCAGTGTGGGAAAACGTTCAGTTATTCCAGTTCCTTTCAAAGACATGAAAGAGCTCATAATGGAGATAAACCTTATGTAAGGAATGTGGGAAAGCTTTCATTTATCACAGAACCTTCGAATACCTGTGAAAATGCATAGTGGAGGACAGTTCTACAAGTATCTACATATCCAAAGAATATGGAAAGTCTTCAGTTTGCTTTCTGGGTTTCGGACTTGTTTGGGATCTCACCCCTTTGTCCTGTTTCTCACTTTTGGAATAGGAATGTCTATCCTATGCCTGTCTCGTATTTTGGAAATACACAACTAGTTTGGTTTTCACAGGTTCGGAGCTGAAGAAGGATTTTGCCTCAGCATGAACTGAATCTCATCCATATCTGAGTTTTGTGATATTGAGATGACACTTTAGAGTTTGAGTTTAAACATTAGGCTTCATGCTGGAATTAACTGAGACACTTGAGGCCTTTAGGATGAGATGAATATATTTTACATGTGATGACATGGATTTTGGGGGCCGGAGGTGTAATGTTTTGGCTGAGAGTGTATGCCCCCTCAGATTAATATGTTGAAACCTTACCCCCACCCCCATCCCCGTATTGTGATGGTATTTGGAGGCCCTGTCTCTGGTGGTTTTTAGGACTGGAGGACATCATGAAGATGGAGGCCTCGTAATTGGGATTAGTTTCCTGATACGAGTCCCTAGAGAGCTAGCTTTGCCCTTCACCATGAGAGGGTGCAGTGAGAAGATAGCTATCTTTGAACCAGGAAGCAGGCCCTTACCAGACACGGGCTCTGCCAGTGCCTTGATATTGGACTTCCCAGCCTCCCAAACTGTGAGAAATAAATGTTTGTTGATGAATTAAGCTTTCCAATTTATGGTATTTTGTTTTAGCAACCCAAGCTAAGACACAATCCAATTTTAAAATGGAGGAAAGGACTCGAATAGACATTTCTCCAAAGAAGATATCCAGATGGCCAATAAGCACGTAACAATGCTCAACATCATTGGTTGTTAGGGAAATACAAATCAAACTCAAGACATACATACCATCTCATTAGGATTAGTAGTATCAAAGATGGAAAACAATACTGACAAGGATGTGGAATGTTTGAGAACCTTGTGCACTATCACGGGGAATGTACAATGGTATAAGCCTGCTGAAAACAGTATGGCAGATCCCCAGATTAAAATGTAGAAATGACATATCAGCATTTCCATTTCTGGGAAAATAAAAAGATTGAAAGCAAAGTCTCAAATAGGTTTTGTGCACCTGTGTACATAGCATCATTCACAATAGGTAAACTCTGGAAACTACTCAAGTTTTCATCAACAGATGAATAAACAAAAGGAAGTTTATACATACAAGAGAATATTGCTGAACCTTAGGAAGGACATTTTCACATATGCTGCAAGATGAATCTTGACATGCTGAGTGAAATGGGCCATTCATACAAAGACAATACTGTTATGATTCTACTTATATCAGGTATCTAGAGTAGTCATATTGATAGAAAAAGTACAATACCATTTGCCATGGGTTAGGGAAATTGGATGATGGATATTTAATGGGCATAGAGTTTCAATTTTGCAAAATAAAAAGGGTTCTAGAGATGGATGGTGATGGTGGTTGCACACTAGTATGAATGTTCTTAATGGCACTGAACTGCACACTTAATTATGATGATGAATTTTATGTATGTTTTACACACACAAAAGGGGAAAAAGGCTACCGTACTGCACAGACTTTGTGGGACCTTCAGGTTACCAAGATACTCTAGGTCTCTCTCTTTTTCTGTCCCCCAAGCTGGAGTGCAGTGGCGAGATCTTGGCTCACTGCACCCTCCGCCTCCCGGGTTCAAGTGATTCTCATGCTTCAGCCTCTTGAGTAGCTGGGATTACAAGTGTGCACCACCACACCCAGCTAATTTTTGTATTTTTAGTAGAGATGGGGTTTCCTCTTATACACATCTAGATGTGTATAAGAGACAGGTCTTGAACTGCTGATCTCAAGTGATCTGCCCGCCTCGGCCTCCCATAGTGCCGTGCCGGGGTTACAGGCGTGAGTCACTGTGCCTATTCTCTAGGTCTCTTTCCTACTTGTTTTCAGCACTGTTTTTTTTTTTTTTGTTTTTCTACCCATGAGGGACCTGTCCCTACACAGTCCATTAGTAGGCATTTAGATTTGATACTCAGGATTGACTCCCCTGTCTCCTGCCCCCTTCACTGTAGACCTGGACCCCACTCCCAGAGCCAGGGTCTGTGATAACCACCTCCTTTTATTGAGGATGGATAATTTTAATTTCCTCTGCACACTATTCACCGACATATATATCAAATATATATCTGATAATTTAAGCAAATAGAAATTTTTTCCTCAGAAACAGATCTTTAAGAATATGAGAAGAAAGTAGCAGCATATAGTGTCCAGAAAAGGTGGGAGAGAACTTCTTAGGTATGGAAAGTTTATATAATAGGTAATGTGTAACTATTGACCACTAATTCTGTACCTGGGGTAAAAGTGTTGTTCAAGAAATGGAGAGCCAGGCCTGGTGTGGTGGCTCACACCTGTAATCCCAGCACTTTGGGAGGCTGAGGCAGGCAGATCACTTAAGGCCAGGAGTTCAGGACCAGCCTCGCCAACATAGCGAAACCCCATCTCCACTAAAAATAGAAGAATCAGCTGGGTACGGTGGTGCACACCTGTAATCCCAGCTACTCAGGAGGCTGCGGCAAGAGAATTGCTTGAACCTGGGAGGCAGAGGTTACAGTGAGCTGAGATCATGCCACTGCACTCCAGCCTATGTGACAGAGAAAGACTCCTTCTGAAAAAAAAAAGCAGTGGAGAAATAAGAAGTCACTGCTTGCACAATAAAGAAATAAATGGGCTGGGCATGGTGGCTCATGCCTGTAATCCCAGCACTTTGGGAGGCTGAGGCAGGTGGATCACGAGGTCAGGAGATCGAGACCAGCCTGGCCAGCATGGGGAAACCCCGTCTCTACTAAAAATACAAAAAATTAGCCGGGCATGGTGGTACGCGCCTGTAATCCCAGCTACTTGGGAGGCTGAGGCAGGAGAACTGCTTGAACCCGGCAGGCAGAGGTTGCAGTGAGCCAGGATCACGCCACTGCACTCTAGCCTGGGTGACAGAGTGGGGCTGCATCTCAAAAAAAAAAAAAAAAGGAAGCTCTGTGAGGAAATGAAGCAAGTGATCCGTCTTGGAGTGGATTTCATGAAGTACCTTTAAATGACAGAACATCAAGTTTCCATTTCCAAAAATATTTTTCTTCATGGTCTGACTGAAATAGTGACTGGTGTTGGAGAAATGCATGGAAGATAGCATAATAAACCAAATTGTTCTTTCTAGTGAGGAAGGCATGAATCACCCAAAACTAATAGTCACGGAATTTGCTTACAGGGTATAGAAGAATAAGCAACCATAGAATAAATCAGTATAGTAATCACAGAACTAAGTTACAAGCTTTAGTTCTGTTTCCCAGGCCAGTTTTTATCTTGTTCTCAAGGAATAGTTACATCTGCAGTGTAAATTGTGGATACCATTGAGAGAAGTTTTACTTTCTACTTTATGAAAATGATGATGATGACAATAATACCACAATATGAATACTAATGAAAACACTTTATGCCCAGGCACGTTGGCTCACGCCTGTAATCCTAGCACTTTGGGAGGCCGAGGTGGGCAGATACCTTGAGGTCAGGAGTTCGAGACCATCCTGGCCTACATGTTGAAACCCCGTCTTTACTAAAAATATAAAAATTAGCTGGGCGTGGTGGTACATGCCTGTAATTCCAGCTACTTGGGAGGCTGAGACAGGAGAATCACCTGAACCTGGGAAGCGGAGGTTGCAGTGGGCTGAGATCACGCTGCTGCACTCCAACCTGCATGATAGAGTGAGACCCTGTCTCAAAAAAAGCAAAATGAAACACTTTAGACAGAATACTGTCAAGCACCTCACTATGCACCACCTGTGGGTTGGCTTTTTACATTTTACCTGTCTACTGATGCCCGAGCATGGCCACAGCCTGAACTGCAGCACCGTCCTGCGGATCCCCCTTTTTTTGGTGAACAAGTAAATGCTGCTTCTAGTCCCCTTGGTACTAGGTCTGCGTGGAGCACAGAGAAAGATGAATCCAGCCAGAGACTGCCCCAGAGTAACTCCCAGAGGCGGGATGAGTGAGATACACTGGGATTGAGATGTTTGGTGTAATCTTGTGTCTATTTTTGCTTTTGTTGCCTGTGTGTTTGAGTTCTTATCCACAAAATCCTTGCACAGATGAGGTCATGTAGAATTTTCCTCTATGTTTTCTTTTAGTAGTTTCAAAGTCTTACATATAAGTCCGTAATCCATTTTGAGTGAATTGTTGTATATGGTGAAAGATGGCGGTCCAGTTTCAATTTTCTGCATGTTGATAATCCAGTTTTCCCATCACCATTCATTGAAGAGACTGTCCTTTCTCCAATCTGTGTTTTTGGCACCTTCGTCAAAAATTGTTGGTAAGTATGTGGATTTATTTCTGGTTTCTCTATTCTGTTCCATTGGTCTGTGTGTCTATGTTTATGTTAGTACGGTGCTTTTTTGGTTACTTTTTTTGTAGTCTATTATGAAGTCAGACTCAAGATTGCTTTGGCTATTTTTGTGGTTCTATATGAATTTTAGGATAATTTTTTCGATTTCTGTGAAGTATGGCTTTCATATTTTGATAGGGATCACACTTGAATCTGGAAATTGCTTTGGGTGGTATGGACATTCGAAGAATATTCTAAGGTGGGCATAGTGGCTCACATCTGTATTCCCAGCCCTTTGGCAGGCTGAGGCAGAAGGATCACTTGAGCCCAGTAGTTTGAGACCAGCCTAGGAAACATAGTGAGACCTCGTCTCTACAATAAATTTTTAGAAAATTAGCTGGGCGTGGTGGTGTGTGCCTGTAGTCCCAGTTGAGGCAGCGAGGTCACTTGAGCCTGGAAGATCAAGGCTGCAGTGAGCTGTGATCACAGCACTGCATTCCAACCTGGGTGACAAAGTGAGATCGTGTCTCAAAAAAAAAAAAAAAAATT